CGGTCAAAATTCGCGAAAGATCGTTGACGTGACCCGTAATGGGATGTCCTCAGATCTTTGTTCAGCGGTAGCAAAAACTAAGATCTGATTTTAATGAGATTGGACATGAGACAGATGTTGGCGTGGCCCTATTTGGGAAGATCCTGTATTATGACCAATATGTGAGCAAACACACTGCTTGGGTGTAGCTGTGTGGGTAGATCCTGTATTATGACCAATATGTGAGCAAACACACTGCTAGGGTGTAACTGTGTGGGGAGCTCGCATGTCCGGGCAGGTTTTGTGGGGACGGACAAACAGATTTGAATGCTGAGGGGATTTAGGAGGAATGTCCTAATGGTTTCTTGTCCTGTATTGACACTATTGATATTTGTGTCTGTTGGTCAGTGGAGATGGTCAGTTTGAGGGCCGGTGTTGTAAGCTTGGAATTTGCATGGCATGTTTCAAAAGGAGTTGAGATGGTCACTGAAGGTTAGTATTGGGTGTTATTACATAATGGCGTGTGGGCCGGGGTAGGGTGGGGTGTGGTGGGGGCCGGCCTAGTGGTTAAATCGGTCGCTCTTCACGCCAAGGACCTGGGTTTGATTCCCCAGATGGGTACAATGTGTGAAGCCCATTTATGGTGTCCCCTGACGTGATATTGCTGGAATATTACTAAATGTGGCGTAAAACCTCACTCTCACTCACTCACTCACTCACTCACTCACTACATAGCATAAGGTCGGTGGTTTGATCCCCAGCTGTGTCATACCAAAAGACGATAAAAGATGGAACTTGTTGTTTCCTTGCCTGTCCTCGGCATTAAGGGGCTAAAACAAGGACTGGTCAGGCCGGAGTCTGTACTCTGTCTGTGTGGGTTATCCATGTTAAAGTGTTGCATGGTGTCTCAGTGGGCTAGCGCTTCAAAACTGGCATTAGTCCAGACTAGTACAAGCAGCCATACACACACACATTGCAATATAAGTACAATAATCTTGAACACGACTGTAAACCCCATTTCACCTCATGGTAAGATCAGTCAGTTTGTTTTTATGACCTCTTCTAGGAAAGGCGTGACACTGTGATCACTGGATCAAGGCTTACCAGTATATGACCAAGGTCACATGACAAGGATTAGCTCTGGTATATACACAATAGTTGTAACGAAGTATAGCACTGCTCGTTTAATGGCCAACAATACTTGCCGTCTTGGGATTAGCATCTTGTTGCAATTAATAGCAATTGAGTGATTGTGATGGCAATTAGTCCTCTGAGTTGGACGTTAATGAGGACAAGTGTTGTCACGATCAGGTCACTGTGACATAACATTCTTGTGGTGGTGGTCGGCCGTGAGCATGGCATGTTCCTTACGCAGTGGAGATGGTCACGGAAGGTTGGTGTGAGATATGTGGTGTTAGGATGATACTTGTCATAATGATAATCATGATAGTGGTGTTATTGATGTAAAAGTAGCTGACAGTGATAATGATGTCAATATATCATATGATTTGCAGGTTTTCCTGGTGAACACTTATAATAATGATAATCATTCTGTAATGAAAACATCAATAGTTGTAAGATGAGGGATGCTGATGTTGATGATGATGATGTTGATGATGTTGATGTTGTTGATGATGTTGATGTTGATGTTGAGGATGTTGATGTTGAGGATGATAAAGATGATAAGGTTGATAAGGATGTTGATAGATATGCATGCAGCAGCAGAAACTAACAGATTTTGTCCACTAGTCTTTAGAATGACAACATATAGCAAAACCCTTAAAATGTCAAATTACTACTTGTCTTTATGACACCTTTACTACTGGGCAGTGTGGCAAGGACTACAGGACTAGTGCCAATTTCTAACACTGTGCATGAGTTTTCCTAGTTTGGAATATTAATATATGGCTAGAAGAAATACATGAACATTTGACTAGAATATCCTCAAAATATGGTAATTTGCAAAAGCTGTTTACAGGTAAACTATATATATGATATACCTAATGTATGATATACTTAATGTGATCATGTGGGATTATCCAAAACATGCAGTTCATTGATTAATGGAGCAGACACAGGGTTCTAGTTGACAAATCAATTATTCGGTGGTCACCTATATACAATATACAGACCAGGAGTTGAGTTGACCACATCTCGTGTGACTGACACCACTGTCAAAAATCATGTTCACATGCTGCTGGCTGTTTTCATCATGTTTTAAACAGATCATATTCAGATATAGAATCACATAATGAACTCTAGCTTAGAGTTCATCCAGGCGGAACAATATCCCTGTTACCTGACACCTATGAACATCAATATTGCGGTCATGTGACTGACCTCTCATCCAATGGAAAAGCTGTATATCGTGTAAACGTCAAATTAAAAAATTATTTTGAAAATGAACCCAGTGTGATGGGAAATTCTCGAACCTTTGGGAAAATCTAGACTTGCTTCATGTAGAGCTACAACATTACAGTATGGTTGTTTGTTTGTTGTTTAACGCTGCACTCATCAATATTCCAGCTATGTGACGGCGGTCTGTAAATAATTGAGTCTACACCACACAATCAAGTGATTGACATCATGAGCATCGATCTTGCGATTGGGATCGATGACATGCTTTAACAAAGCCAGCAAGCTCGACCACCCGATCCTGTTATTTGTCTCTTAGGACAAGCATGGTCGCCTTTTAAGACAAGCATGGGTTGCTGAAGACCTATTCTCCCCTGGATCTTCACGGGTCCATTACAGTATTGGCTTGGCGGAAGGCAAAATAGGTTCAGGGGCTGTGAGACAGTCTACTATTGATTAAGATTCACAATGAGATCAAGTAATTCTGGTCTGCCTGTCATTTACAGTTCACCTAGGCTACTCATTGGCCAACTCCACAATAATCATGACCATGCTACTGTACAGCAACTGGAAATGTCAAAACCAAAACTGCTACAAAAATAAAAAGTTCTAAAAAGTAATGTTGCTGAAATGATTATGTGTTTGTAAAGTTTAAAATCTTGTCACTTTGTAAGAATATCAGTCAAACTCATTTTTATGAGGATCAGAAACAAGACTTTGCTTCTGAATCCAGTTTCTGGAAGCAGTGGTGGTGTAGCCCTGTGGTTAAAGCGTTTGCTCTTCAAGCTGGAGGCCTGGGTTTGATTCCCGACATGGGTTCACACTCATTCCTGGTTCCCCCTGCCATAATAGGGCAGGAATATTACTAAGAGCGGCATAAAATTATACTCCTGTACTAAACATTTATAGAAATATCCACTCATGAAGTATACAATATTTAAGATTGCTCTGGAGATGCTGGCAGTATTGATCGAGGACCGTCAATCTAGTTATAGTAGTTTTGAAATGAAGCATTAGACTAAGACTGGGTCGGGCCATGTTGACTTGGAGCTGCTAGTTACATAAACTTGCCAAGTGTACTTCTCTCACAGATATATATCTCCACGCCCACCCTGACTCTTGTCTATAAGATCAGATTTAATGTCCGGTGTGATATACAGCTTTGTGTGACCTTCACTGGGTGGAGGGTTTATGTGTATACCTACTCCCCTCCTTGAGACTTGAGACCTGTGTCCAATGTGAAGTGTTACTCTATCAGATTGTGTATCTGTTCAAGAGTTGCTGTTTGAGAGGGTCATGATCTTGCATTAATCATTTTTGGGTTAAACTTTTCTGGGGATTGTTTTGTGCGGGTATTACTTGGTTAGTAGTATTTGTGGTACGTTTGGTGATGTTTTGTGGTAACTTTGGTGATGTTTTGTGGTAACTATGGTGATGTTTTATGGTAACCATGGTGATGTTTTGTGGTAACTTTGGTGATGTTTTGTGGTAACTATGGTGATGTTTTGTGGTAGCTGGGGATGTTTTGTGGTAACTGTGGGGATGTTTTGTGGTAACGATGGTGATGTTTTGTGGTAACCATGGGGATGTTTTGTGGTAACTATGGTGATGTTTATGACAGGTTATATTCTAATGCTTTGTTTTAATAAAAGTGCAAGGGACCTCACACTGTTGAACTCGAATAATATGGGTACATACAAACATTAATAATTTGAGCAAATCATAATGACAATGTGACTTTCTTCGTTTCTTTAGAATGTTACAAGGAATGGCCTCTGATAAATATAAATACCTAATGCCATGCAACTGACATATGTTAAGGAGCAATGGAATAGCTCAGTGGGGAGAACCAGGTTTAAATCTCTACATGGGTACAATGTGTGAAGTCCATTCTTGGTCTACCCTGCTGTGGTATGAATGGGCGATTTAACAAATTTTGATTCTATTTCTTCTATAACTTCACCAATACTGAAAAATATCTAAAAGACATTTTGGATGACAGGAGATGTCATAGAATATGAACCAATGTGAAACCCTGTAGACTCACTCACCGAGAAGTCATAAGAGTTACCTGCCCTTGTCTTTTATAAAATTGATGTGAATTAACCACCAGCCTTACTCTGTTGGCTGGCTGTCTTGGTGTTACTTTTGACCCAAGTTGTTTGCCTACTGCACGTATGTGATCTACACCACCTGAGGTGATTTTGACGATTGTTGATATTTAACACATTGTGTTTGCATGATTGCTAGATTGAGTATACTGGTTATATTAAGGACATTGATTTTTGTCGAGTTGTTTTAGCAACAATCACGCAACTAAACTTTGTTGAGAAGGATTCCAGAATGAAATGGTTAATGAGGACACGGGTGGTCTGTCGTCTAAGACGTCGCAATTCACTGTGCAGAGTTGTGTCCCTCAGGCATGCCTGGAACCTATGATTGTGGGTTCGAATCTTGGTTTGCCCTGATTATGTTTCCTGGTTTAATAGCACCACACACATATTCCTGGGTTTCAAGTGGTAAACGTGGAAGACAGCATCATTCTCTGGTTTCCTCCTACATCAAGTTTACAAGCTGTAAATATCTGAAATTCAGTTCAAATTTGCATTGAACCAAACTCACTCACTCACTCACTCACTCACTCACTCACTCACTCACTGTTTCAGTCTCGGTTCATGGAGCGTCACCGTAAGATGATGGACAACTTCATGGCCGACCGGACCCAGGAGGCCGAGGAGCTCAAGGCCAAGCAGGAGGCCGAGCTTCAACAGCTGAAGGACCAACTCATCTCACGGGATGCTGAAGTTGCTCGACTCACAAGTCAACATGCCGAGGAGCTTGAGACAGTCACACGCTTACAGACAGAGGCGGATGCTGAGAACAGTGATGATGAAAGGAAGAGACGGGATGGAGAGAAGGATGAAAATGATGGAGATAAGGATGAGAGTGATGGAGAGAAGGAGAGACAAACTGAATTGATAGAGAGACACAAGGGAGAGATGGAGGAAGTGGAAAACAAGTGGAAGAAACAACTTGAAGGTGGGTTGTGTTATGTTGTAGTTTATTTTCGTAAGCCAATTGTAGAAACTCATTTGAATCTCTTGCTTCTGAGCGAAGTTGTTTGAATATTTTTGGTCTTGTTGTGAGTTCTTGATAGGGTGTGGGGTGGTTGGGTAGCCTAGTGGTTAAAGCGTTCGCTCGTCACGCCGAGGACCTGGGATTCCCCATGTGGGCAAAATGTGTGAAACCCATATATGGTGTTCCCCGCCATGATATTGCTGGAATAGTGCCAATAGCAGCGTAAAAACATACTCACTCACTCACTTACTGACTCTTGATTGGGTGTAATAGATAATTCCTGAGCAGAATCGATGCCCCGTGCATCAAGAGGATTGCGCACCTCTTGCCCGAAGACGTGGATAGATGCTCATGCTATCAGCCACTAGTTTGGCCATTACTTGAGTATTTACATGCTACATGTTGTCATATTGCTGACTGAGGCATACTATGTTTGGCAAGCAGAATTCCTGGTGGGGCTTTGGTCCTTCGACACAGTGGCAAGTGACTGTGTTTAAATATGCTTCTGTTAACCCAGCAGTGAATGGGTACCTGGTAGGATGAGATGGTAGTCAGACTGTTAACCTTCTATTTCCAACCATTGTCTGACAGTCGTGTGAGATCACCTAACTGTGGCCGCTGAATTTAACATTTCCTAATATATTACCTCTATTACGTTACTGCCATAAATCCTATAATTTGGCTATCATCTCACTAAATTGCAGTATTCTTCTCTGTCAACTATCCGTAAGCAGTTTTGTAAAAAATAGTGTTCATCTCGAAAGCGGGACACCAACATCTTTCCTGTGTGTGTTTGCAATATTTGAATTTAGTCTCGGTCACTGTTGTCTTGATGTTGAGTGTTGGGTGTCCTTGGGTGTCCTTGGGTGTCCTTGGAATGTTGACGTGTGTATATGTCCTGTGCACAGCGCACAGGTCACAAACTGGTGAAATTAAACAATGTTGGTTGAGGAAAGTCCTTGGATTGGTGACCACATTTTGGCAGCTTGGCCCCTGAGAGTTTCTGAGGCTTGTTCTACACTGAAGCACATGTAACACATGTGCCTTCTCCTTGGGCAAGTGACTTTTTCAAAATGTGCCCCTGTTCACCCAGCAGTGAATGGGTACCCGGTAGGATGAGATGGCAGTATGGTTGTTACCCTTATAGCGCCTTACAGGCAGCTATGGTTGGATACTCCCTAGGGAGCTGAGAATGATTGCTGAGTGCACATTGATCCAGTGACCGGGGTAATAATAGCACTTTGAGCATGCCCCTGAGCAGTGTGGAAATAGGGCAATATAAATGGCCTATCATTATTATTACTATTGTTTATTATCTGATGTCATGTTCTGCTCAGAGCTGAAGGCTGCCCACGAGGATGAGATGTCCGCGGCTGCCATGGACACAGAGGCGGTCAAGGCCGAGTTAGAGACCGCCCACCAGAGGGAGCTGCAAGATCTAGAGACACGTCTGTCTCGGTCCCACCAGACGGAGATGGAAGACCTCTGTTCTGAGCACCAGCACAAGATGGACCAGCTCCTCAGACAACAGGTAGCGTGTTAGCATTAATTTTGTGACCAACCTTGAGATAAGTGACCTTGTGGGTGAAAAATCATATTTTGATGTTTCATTACATTTAAAAACTACAGCATCTTTAGAACACAAAAATACAATTCATAAGCTTCAATTCATATTTATTACAGAGATACATGACATCACACATGGCTATAGTTGACCTTTTTATGATGTCATAGCACAATTGTATCCTGGTGCCCATAAGGTCCCTTTTCTCATGGTGGGTCACGTTTATGAATCTTGAACATTTATTATTTAAATACCCTAAATTGAAATCCAAGTTTTTTAGAAGATTATTAAGAAAATGTTAATGAAAAGAATATTAAGCAACCTATGCTGTCGTCCAAGGTGCTGCAGTTCATTGTGCAGACTTACCTCCCTTGACCGGCACATTTTCAGTTCAGGATTAGATGTTGTACTTTGTGACTTCCGAGACAGAAGATTGTCTTTGTGTGATTGGTGGATGATAAGTGCTTGATTTATAAACATGAGAAAGGGAGTAAGAGACATAATGGTGTTTGAATGACTTTACTCCAACTGAGTGCCACCGTTGTCTGACACGCCGTGATAGGACTGAGACTGGTCGAAGCGGCGTTATTTCCTAATTCCTCATTAATGGCCTTGTATTTCCTCAGAATGACCAGAGCCGTGTCCAGCACCAGGAATCTCTTGACCAGGATGACCAGGATGAGGGGCTGAGGGAGGCGATGCGAGAAGTGTCTGAGGTGGTTCTGCCGTCACAGACGACGCCACTCGTGAGTTGAATCATGTTGGTTCTTGTTTAATGCATTGAGTCAGCTCTGTCCAAGACCAGAAATGTTGAAGGCTCAGAAGGACTTGTGTCTCCCTTTGTGACAGGCCTCAGCTGGTCGGGAGATTAGCCTGGAGGTTATGGTGTTTGCTGTGACACTGAGGGTCTGGGTTTGATTTTCCACGTTCGTAGCACATCTGTGGTGTGTCTCCCATGATATTGCTGGAGTACTGCTAAACTGGTGTAGAACCTAATACACTCACATATCGTAATAACTTTCTGAAAATGTAAGACTTTCAGTGGACTAGGTAGGATGGTAGTGTTTTTTGTGACACTGTGCTTCTCATTTCTACAGCTGAGTGCGACCGATTTGGACTCAACCCTGGAGAGTGAGGTGTCTGGGGCTGAAGGGGACCACCTCATGAAGAGCACCCCCCGGGACCCGGGGCCTGAGGCTGGGAGCAGCAGGGGCAGCACCCCGGATGAGATGCTGGCCACACGGTCCTTCGCTGAAGTTGTGCGAGGGATTCCCCCGATTGTGTCCGAGGAAGAGATGAGGGAGAAAGAGGAAAGGATCCATCAGGTGAGGAGAAGAATCAATGTACAGAGAAATCCTGATAGTCTGAGCCCTGTTATCGCAGACTCTATTGTTTGGCTCAAAATTTCCAATCCAGTATGGTCCTTGCAACATGCAATAGAATAGAAAGATTGGTCCCCAAGGGTCAGGGTGTATTGGGCTTTGTGTATTGTGTATTGTGTATTGTGTTTTGTGCATTGTGTTTTGTGCATTGTTCATTGTTCTTTGTGTTTTGTCCATTGTGTATTGTCCTGCTTCAGCTGGAGGAGGAGGTGAGGACGTTGTGAGCAAGGCTGGAGAGTGGAGAGCGAGTGTATTGTGTATTGTGCATTGTGTATTGTGCATTGTGTATTGTGTATTGTGCATTGTGTATTGTGTGTTGTGTATTGTCCTGCTTCAGCTGGAGGAGGAGGTGAGGACGTTGTGAGCAAGGCTGGAGAGTGGAGAGCGAGTGTATTGTGTATTGTGCATTGTGCATTGTCCTGCTTCAGCCCGGCTGGAGAGTGGAGAGCGAGTGTATTGTGTATTGTGTATTGTGCATTGTGTATTGTGTATTGTGCATTGTGTATTGTGCATTGTGTATTGTGTATTGTGTATTGTGCATTGTGCATTGTGTATTGTGTATTGTGTATTGTGTGTTGTATATTGTGCATTGTCCTGCTTCAGCTGGAGGAGGAGGTGAGGAAGTTGCGAGCCCGGCTTGAGAGTGGAGAGCGAGTGTATTGTGTATTGTGCATTGTGCATTGTCCTGCTTCAGCCCGGCTGGAGAGTGGAGAGCGAGTGTATTGTGTATTGTGCATTGTGTATTGTGTATTGTGCATTGTGTATTGTGTATTGTGTATTGTGTATTGTCCTGCTTCAGCTGGAGGAGGAGGTGAGGACGTTGTGAGCAAGGCTGGAGAGTGGAGAGCGAGTGTATTGTGTATTGTGCATTGTGCATTGTCCTGCTTCAGCCCGGCTGGAGAGTGGAGAGCGAGTGTATTGTGTATTGTGCATTGTGTATTGTGTATTGTGTATTGTGTATTGTGTATTGTCCTGCTTCAGCTGGAGGAGGAGGTGAGGACGTTGTGAGCAAGGCTGGAGAGTGGAGAGCGAGTGTATTGTGTATTGTGCATTGTGCATTGTCCTGCTTCAGCCCGGCTGGAGAGTGGAGAGCGAGTGTATTGTGTATTGTGCATTGTGTATTGTGTATTGTGTATTGTGTATTGTGTATTGTGTATTGTCCTGCTTCAGCTGGAGGAGGAGGTGAGGACGTTGTGAGCAAGGCTGGAGAGTGGAGAGCGAGTGTATTGTGTATTGTGCATTGTGCATTGTCCTGCTTCAGCCCGGCTGGAGAGTGGAGAGCGAGTGTATTGTGTATTGTGCATTGTGTATTGTGTATTGTGCATTGTGTATTGTGCATTGTGTATTGTGTATTGTGTATTGTGTATTGTGCATTGTGCATTGTCCTGCTTCAGCCCGGCTGGAGAGCGGAGAGCGAGTGTATTGTGTATTGTGCATTGTGTATTGTGCATTGTGTATTGTGTATTGTGCATTGTGCATTGTGTATTGTGTATTGTGCATTGTGCATTGTGTATTGTGTATTGTGTATTGTGTATTGTCCTGCTTCAGCTGGAGGAGGAGGTGAGGACGTTGTGAGCAAGGCTGGAGAGTGGAGAGCGAGTGTATTGTGTATTGTGCATTGTGCATTGTCCTGCTTCAGCCCGGCTGGAGAGTGGAGAGCGAGTGTATGTGTATTGTGTATTGTGCATTGTGTATTGTGTATTGTGCATTGTGTATTGTGCATTGTGTATTGTGTATTGTGTATTGTGTATTGTCCTGCTTCAGCTGGAGGAGGAGGTGAGGACGTTGTGAGCAAGGCTGGAGAGTGGAGAGCGAGTGTATTGTGTATTGTGCATTGTGCATTGTCCTGCTTCAGCCCGGCTGGAGAGTGGAGAGCGAGTGTATTGTGTATTGTGCATTGTGTATTGTGTATTGTGCATTGTGTATTGTGTAATGTGTATTGTGTATTGTCCTGCTTCAGCTGGAGGAGGAGGTGAGGACGTTGTGAGCAAGGCTGGAGAGTGGAGAGCGAGTGTATTGTGTATTGTGCATTGTGCATTGTCCTGCTTCAGCCCGGCTGGAGAGTGGAGAGCGAGTGTATTGTGTATTGTGCATTGTGTATTGTGTATTGTGCATCGTGTATTGTGCATTGTGTATTGTGTATTGTGTATTGTGCATTGTGCATTGTGTATTGTGCATTGTGTATTGTGCATTGTCCTGCTTCAGCCCGGCTGGAGAGTGGAGAGCGAGTGTATTGTGTATTGTGCATTGTGCATTGTGTATTGTGTATTGTGTATTGTGCATTGTCCTGCTTCAGCCCGGCTGGAGAGTGGAGAGCGAGTGTATTGTGTATTGTGCATTGTGTATTGTGTATTGTGTATTGTGTATTGTGTATTGTGTGTTGTATATTGTGCATTGTCCTGCTTCAGCTGGAGGAGGAGGTGAGGACGTTGCGAGCCCGGTTGGAGAGTGGAGAGCGAGTGTATGTGTATTGTGCATTGTTTATTGTGTATTGTGTATTGTGTATTGTGCATTGTGTATTGTGTATTGTGTATTGTGCATTGTCCTGCTTCAGCCCGGCTGGAGAGTGGAGAGCGAGTGTATTGTGTATTGTGCATTGTGTATTGTGTATTGTGTATTGTGTATTGTGTGTTGTATATTGTGCATTGTCCTGCTTCAGCTGGAGGAGGAGGTGAGGACGTTGCGAGCCCGGTTGGAGAGTGGAGAGCGAGTGTATGTGTATTGTGCATTGTTTATTGTGTATTGTGTATTGTGTATTGTGCATTGTGTATTGTGTGTTGTATATTGTGCATTGTCCTGCTTCAGCTGGAGGAGGAGGTGAGGACGTTGCGAGCCCGGTTGGAGAGTGGAGAGCGAGTGTATGTGTATTGTGCATTGTTTATTGTGTATTGTGTATTGTGCATTGTGTATTGTGTATTGTGCATTGTGTATTGTGTATTGTGTATTGTGTATTGTCCTGCTTCAGCTGGAGGAGGAGGTGAGGACGTTGTGAGCAAGGCTGGAGAGTGGAGAGCGAGTGTATTGTGTATTGTGCATTGTGCATTGTCCTGCTTCAGCCCGGCTGGAGAGTGGAGAGCGAGTGTATTGTGTATTGTGTATTGTGCATTGTGTATTGTGTATTGTGCATTGTGTATTGTGTATTGTGCATTGTGTATTGTGTATTGTGTATTGTGCATTGTGCATTGTGTATTGTGCATTGTGTATTGTGCATTGTCCTGCTTCAGCCCGGCTGGAGAGTGGAGAGCGAGTGTATTGTGTATTGTGTATTGTGCATTGTGCATTGTGTATTGTGTATTGTGTATTGTGCATTGTCCTGCTTCAGCCCGGCTGGAGAGTGGAGAGCGAGTGTATTGTGTATTGTGCATTGTGTATTGTGTATTGTGTATTGTGTATTGTGTATTGTGTATTGTGTGTTGTATATTGTGCATTGTCCTGCTTCAGCTGGAGGAGGAGGTGAGGACGTTGCGAGCCCGGTTGGAGAGTGGAGAGCGAGTGTATGTGTATTGTGCATTGTGTATTGTGTATTGTGTATTGTGTATTGTGCATTGTGTATTGTGTATTGTGTATTGTGCATTGTCCTGCTTCAGCCCGGCTGGAGAGTGGAGAGCGAGTGTATTGTGTATTGTGTATTGTGTATTGTGTATGTGTATTGTGTATTGTGCATTGTGTATTGTGTATTGTGCATTGTGCATTGTGTATTGTGTATTGTGTATTGTGCATTGTGTATTGTGTATTGTGCATTGTGCATTGTGTATTGTGTATTGTGCATTGTGTATTGTGTATTGTCCTGCTTCAGCTGGAGGAGGAGGTGAGGACGTTGCGAGCCCGGCTGGAGAGTGGAGAGCGAGTGTATTGTGTATTGTGTGTTGTATATTGTGCATTGTCCTGCTTCAGCTAGAGGAGGAGGTGAGGAAGTTGCGAGCCCGGCTTGAGAGTGGAGAGCGAGTGTATTGTGTATTGTGTGTTGTATATTGTGCATTGTCCTGCTTCAGCTGGAGGAGGAGGTGAGGAAGTTGCGAGCCCGGCTGGAGAGTGGAGAGCGAGTGTATGTATATTGTGCATTGTGTATTCTGTATTGTGTATTGTCCTGCTTCAGCTGGAGGAGGAGGTGAGGACGTTGCGAGCCCGGCTGGAGACTGAGGAGAGTGAGGAGCAGCTGCTGACGGGGAGGAGAGCTCGAGAGGCGGAGGAGGAGGGCAACCTGGTGATGATGCTCCGGGGCGACCTGGACAGGATCAGCGCTGAAAGGTCCGCCAGCTTCTTCCTTAGACGATTTGTATTTTCACTTGTAACTACAGTGATTTGTCTGGAAACAAATGGTGTTTTGATGATAATGTTTTGGTCATTATCAAATATGAACAAAATCTTTAGGACAGTTTTGATGCCAATATGTCAATGTCAGTAAGCTGATCTGAAAGCCTGAACTATCCTGTTTTCACTTGAGCTAATGTATTCTTGAGTTTCCCCACCATTATTTATCAACAATGTCAGCAGTGCCACTGAGCAATTTAAACCCATAACTTTGGGATAAGTCCCGTGAAGATCCGGGGTAGAATAGGTCTTCAGCAACCCATGCTTGTCGTAACAGGCGACTGACAGGATCGGGTGGTCAAGCTCGATGACTTGGTTGATGCATGTCATTGTATCCCAAATGTATAGATCGATGCTCATGATATCAATCACTGGATTGCCTGGTTCAGACTTAATTATTTACATACGGCCTTCATATAGCTGGAATATTGCTGAGAGCAACATTAAACAACAAACAAACAAACACACAAACTTTGGAATAAGATGCTTTAGGTTTCTATGACTACACTGATGCTCCCATGTTGGTGCAGCCGATTCCCCTCATTTGCTTGTTACCTGGATACGTGAACGTAGGGATGCTTCTCTTCAGGGATGCCGTGCAGAATGCCAATGACCGTCTGCTCCAAGTACTGACGGATTCTGTCAAGAACTATGTGTCAGTGGAAGACATCATCAACAAGAAACTGACACGCCTGGTCAACCAGTCAGGGTCAAGGTCAAGGCCGTCCAGTGGAACGTCCCGGGAGGATGGGCGTGGGACGGATACTGATGGGCACAGGGAGAGTCGAGGACATGAATTTGGAGCCAGAGCTCCCTCACCGAGAAGTGACAGAGGTAAGTCTCACAGCCCCGCCCTAAGTCAGCTCCAAACTTAGTGCTCGCATTATTATCTCAAAGTGATCTTGGCAATCTCTGCTTTCCTCAATGTGATCTTAGCAATCTCTAGGGATGGCTAAGAAGGTCGATAATCGGAATTATCGTTGATGGGAAGAAACAATATCAATATGAGATTTTTTTCATCGATAATAACTTACAGAAACTATTGTAATGAAATAAAGTTTAGATTTACCGACTTGTAATTGCCAATCATGTCAATTGTCGAAGACAGAAAGCAACCTGTTTTTGTTATATCTCAAATGTCCACAAAGTAATCCATGTATAAATGTGTCACTGCTCACCAGTGACCTGAGATATGTTGATTTCTTTTGGGACTTCCTGGCACATTTGCTGATGGATACTTCTCCGATATTTATCAATAATTGACCAATATTTAGTAAGTGATTATCGATCTCCATGATCTATGTCGATAGCCAGCCCAACCAATCTCTCAAGGTCATCTTAGCACCGACAATGTTGTAACGGAGACATTTTGGTACATTTTGGACTTATGATGATGTAGCACTATCACGCATCTGTTCTGACTCTGTATCCAGACCAGATCCCCCGAATCCCTGTCTTATTGATATAGCCAACAGATATTGGACAGTGTGTGTCATCTTTCCCCAACATCATCGTTTCTTTCTCAGGCTGTCAACCAAACCCAAGATTGATCATTCACAAGATGTTGTTTTGTATTATAGCTGTTAATCCTGCTGACTATGGCTTAAAACAACATTCACTCATTGACTGTAAGGATTCTCGGTTAGAACAGATCTATAACAACCTATGCCGGACCTGAAAGGCAACTCAATAGATCGGGTGGTCAGACTCGGTGATTTGGTTGATGGCGTGTTTTGTTATCAGTCACTGGATTGTCTGGTCCAGATGTGATTATTAACAGACTGCTGTCATATAGCTGGAATATTACTTGGTGCAGCGTTAAACAACAAACACACACACTGTTCTGACTTTGTATTGTAAGTTGAACTTGTGTGTTTGTTTGTTGTTTAACGCCGAACTCAGCAAAATTCCAGCTATATGACAGCGGCCTGTAGATAATCAAATCATGACATCATGAGGATTGATCTTTGTGATTGAGATACGATGACATGCATCAACCAAGTCAGTGAGTCTGACTACCTCATCCTGTGAGTCGCCTCTTATGACAAGCATGGGTTGCTGAAGTCCAATTTTAACCTCGAATCTTCTCAGCATGCTGAAAGTGTGATTACCGTATTCGACGTAATAAGCGCCCAGGGCGCTCTGAAAATTAGAAATAGGGGGCTCTTATTAGAATATTATTTTGGTGGAAAGAGTTGAAAGATAAATTTCATGGTTTATGCTGACGGCCTGACTGTTCATATACGATAGATATATTTTTCCAGAATTTAATTGCCCATAATTAAGAGTGCATATAACACACGAGTGCGTATTATACACGATAAATAGGTCTTGTGTACATTGATCAATCGGAAGTGGTGCTAATTGGGATTGTTCACTTGCCAATATATTAGCAAATATCGCCGTGGGCGCTTATTACGTCGAATACGGTATATATATATTGGTGATATTCCTCAGCTGACACTAGCCAGGACAGCACGGCTCTGGAGGAGACGAGTATTCTGTCCAACAACACAGATGAGGGGCTCGACCTGTCCCAGAGACTCACAGAGAGCATCTTCACAGGACCGGAACTCGATGCCGAGGGAGAGGAGATTCTCTCAGGTTTGTCTCCCTTGTATTCTGAGTAGTGGAACACTGCAGTCTTGTGTTACAGATACTCATTTCATAATCGCCATCTTGCTTATATAGGGATGGTTGGGTAGCCTTATATAAGCAATCGTTGTCACTACAAGACCTGGGTTCTTTTCACCACATTTCAACCAAAGAATAATGTCTCCACTGTGATCTAGCTGGAATATTACTAAAGCAACATATAACCACACTCTGAGATTTTAGCCACTACTTACAAGTCTGAGTCTAGTAAAAGTTTGTTCATTCTTGCAAGCTCATTATATCACTATAATCTACTTAAAACATGCATGAAATTCTCATATCTCATATCCAATACCACCATTTTCAGTCTAAGTCAAAGTCTTTGCCATGGAAACTCGAAAAAAATTTTTTTTGAATAATCCCAAACTATCAAAAGGCACCAGTTCACCACTAGACCTATCAATGTGCCAAGTTTGGTTAAGATATCTCTCGTCGTTTTTGAGTTCTGCTCTGGAAATGAAACTTGACGGGCAGACGAAACGTGGACGGACAGCACCATTTCCTTTTTCCCCCTTCCACATTGTGGCGGGGAATAACAATGCCAAGAGCCAGGTTGGGACTTGTGGTCTCAAATGTTTCTGGCATGAACTGTAACCGCAACTCATGTACTGACTGGTGCAGAACCCCCTAGTCCTCACTGCTGTTGTCCCTGTCTCCCAGATGCCCGGGGCAGGCTGCAGACCTCGGTGAACAGCCTGCTGGAGATGATTGAGAAGACTACGCAGCAGCTGATGGAGGCCAAGCACACGCAGCAGGAGCTGGTCGACACGCTGGCCTCCCGCAGCACCGAGGCCGAGGTGCTGCAGGCGCGCTGCACCGACATTGATGACCGACTGCGCGAGGAGGTCGCCGCCAAGGAGTACCTGTCACTGGAGCTACACAAGGCAGAAGGTACGGGGCAGGGCAGCATGTGGTTGGGTGGGGTGTGGTGGGATGGGGTGGGGTTGTGTGTTACGTGGAGGGGTGTGGTGTGGTGGCGTTGAGGTGTGGTGTGGTGGGGTTGGGGTGTGGTGGGGCACAATGGGGTGGGGTATGTGGAGGGATGTGGTGGGGTTGGGGTATGGTGGGGCACGGTAGGGTGTGTTATGTGGAGGGGTGTGGTGTGGTGGGGTTGGGGTGTGGTGGGGCACAGTAGGGTGTGGTATGTGGAGGGATGTGGTGGGGTTGGGGTATGGTGGGGCACGGTAGGGTTTGGTATGTGGAGGGTTGTGGTGGGGTCGAGGTATGGAGGGGCACGGTAGGGTGTTGTATGTGGAGAGGTGTGGTGGTGTGGTGGTGTGGGGTGGGATGCAGTGGAGTGGGATGGGGTGTGGTGGTCAGGTGTGGGGCAGGGTGGGTTGGGGATTGGATGTTGGGTGAGGTAACTGTCCTTGGACCAAGATAAAAGCTGAGGAGAAGGGGTTGGATGTTGTCTAGGGGTTGAGGTAGAGTGGGATGTTGGGGAGTATTTGTTTCATCACTCTTCCAAGTAAATGAAGCATTGGATGGTCAACTGAGTTAATTACAAGGGTGACCCAACTAAGGCAGCAGAGGGTCCAAGATGAGTTCCTAGTGTAGGCTGGCATCCTATTCTTACGATCAGTTGGGCAAGATTTCCACTGAAACTCTGTATTTGTACATGTGAGATTCTTTTGTCCAGGCTTGATATCAGGATACGCCACGGAGAGGGACGGCCTGGAGCAGAGGCTGGAGTGTCTCGAGGAACAACGGCAAGGACTGGCCATCGACCTCGAGACCACGCGCAACAAGCTACAGGAGTTCCAGAATGCCCACCACGAGATCCAGTCCCGGCAGGAGTCGGTCGATCGGCAGGAACAGATCCTGAGGGAAAATGTCGGCCAGGAGACACAAGGTTTCCGTGACTACCAATTCCTTCTTGTGCCGTTTGGTGTCTTTGTTGGTGCTTACCTCTTACGTGATTGGCTGCAAATGGCCAATAACCTTTGAACTTGTGAACTTTGAACTTTTGGTGTGAAAATACCTGATTGATGATGCTGAGACGTTTATGTACACCTTTTTACATAATATATCATTCAGGATCTCGTCACCAAAATTTGGTTGACTGGCTATAATTGCAAAAGCAGATATATTTTATTTTATTTTCATTTGTTGTGTAAAAAGTGAGTACTTGGTAGCTAAAGGTGCATTTGTAATAGTTTTATTGCTGAACATATCCTTGTTGACTATACACATTCATGTAGATAAACACTCTTTGCGGGTTTTAGTTCAATCGGATTTAACTTGCCGCCTCATTGGTCAATATTTTGGCATTTGTTGCATACAGACGGTTGTTTGTGACATTATATTTTATGACATTTTATTGCAATATGTGTTATATTTTTGATGACTATTTATCATTTACTACTGTTGACGATATTTAATGTCGGAAAGCTTTACACAGCATCGCGTCTGTTTACAATGTTGTTATTTGTTATTTTGTTCATTGTAATGCATAGTCCACAAGTGAGTGATATTTATGAATCAAAATAGAGAAAAGTTTGAGTTACACTTACAACGGAACCGTATTCCTGTTTCCATGGTGACTGTAGAACTTCACTTTCATGGTGTTGGAGAGGTCAATAAAGTTTAAAATGGCGAATATTTTGTGTGATTTCTGACGGAAAGTAAGAGATAAGATTTGGCTAGAAAGTATGAACCAAGTTATCAGTTGAAAGGAACCTTGAAGACCACAGTGTAATACCTGACATAACGAGCTAGGAATACCTAGAGATGCAAAGTAAATAACAGGGAGCTCAACACTGAAAGGGGAACAACTCTGTAGGAAATATATAAGTTGTATTGACACTACAATTGTTTGGGCAACCCAGTAGAAGTATTTTGTGTTTCGGTTCAAGATAACCAGTATTTCAGATCAGACTGTTTGGAAGACATTGATGATTTTTTCCAGAATGTCTTTGCCATTATTAACTCAGCCATTCAGCATCAGTAACTAACACGTGGAGGGGAGGGTTACCATGGTTTGTGATGGCCCTGTTACAGCATGAGCAGTTGACTTGAAGGCTTTATGAGCCACTCAGGCAAGTAGCAAGGACATTAGCTTGCCTTGACGAACTTGCCCGGATGAACTGCCCCGACCAACTTGCCCCGACCAACTTGCCCAGACCAACTTGCCCGGGTGAACTTGCCCTGATGAACTTGCCCTTATGAACTTGCCCTTATGAACTTGCCCGGATGAACTTGCCCGGATGAACTTGCCCTGACGAACTTGCCCTGACAAACTGGCCCCGATGAACTTGCCCCGATGAACTTGCCCTGACGAACTTGCCCTGACGAACTTGCCCCGATGAACTTGCCCTGACGAACTTGCCCCGACGAACTTGCCCCGACGAACTTGCCCCGACGAACTTGCCCTGACAAACTTGCCCAGGTGAACTTGCCCTGAGGAACTTGCCCTGAGGAACTTGCCCCGACGAACTTGCCCTCACGAACTTGCCCCGACGAACTTGCCCTGAGGAACTTGCACTGATGAACTTGCCCTGACTGCTGTTGTAGTGTGATAACTGTTTGGTCATGACAGGGCACTTACTGAATATAGAGGGTTTAGGGTGTGCATCACATGATATTACATTCAGGACTATCAACAATAGCCCTGAAATATTGTCAATCAGGAGAATGTAGTTCTCTGATATTTCACTTGCAAGAAGAGTCAGTGACCTTCTGCATTCTCGTATCCCTCTGGGAACTTTGCCTGCCTTCGTCTTGCAGGCTCCACTTATATCTAACACTGCTGTTACTGATGGCTTGGAAGTTCCGATGTGACAGGCTCTGATTCTAACGAGGGAGTGTTGTTGTTGCCTCCCAGATCTTTCTGAGGACAAGTGGAAGAGCTTGTGTCCTGTAATTAAGTTTGTAGACTTTTGTTTTTAGAATTTTAGAAACTTTCAGTCGAGTTCATTGGTTGCTGTGGTGATGTCAGGATCAAAGGTCAGAGGTAAGGGTTGAGGGTCATTTCAAGGTCACTACGGCATGGCTAAGACAAATCTTTCCTCCTTTCTCTCCAGATTAAGATCGGGATTTACTGGGTTTACTCTCTTGAAAATGAAGTCTGGTGTATCTCACAGAACTGTTTTAGTAACTCAGATTACATAAGCGAACCATGACCTCGGCACTGAACCTGACTAAGCCCGCTGAGCACGCTGTGTGGAAGATGCACTATACAAGTGAAATTAACATTATCATCGCCCATTGTTGGAAGCATACGACTTTAAGTAACAAATCAGCGAGGCTCTTATTCTAAGTATACGCCCAAAGGTGATTGATTTTGAATGATCTGTGGTTCCTGTATGGAGAGAGAGTCAGTGAAAGGTTTGAGGAAACCATGCAGGTTTATATTTACTGCTTGTAAGGCAATTAGCTGCTGCACTAGTTAATGCAAAACATACATTTGCTTTTAGCTGCTCTTTTGGTTTTATGTCCATCTCATCATGCAGAATCCATTCTTCATGTAGACTGCACTTCCTGTCCATTATGACCTTTACATAGAATTTAACTTTTAAATAATCTAAATACTTGTAATAACCATGAATCTTTTGCACCGTTAGACAGGATTTGATAAAATAAATGTATAATTTGTAAACTTAAGTTTAAAATTGATTTGGAGATCATACTTTAACCCAGCAATAGCCAGTGTAGTCAGCTCTTTGCCTTGTGCCCTTCCCCTCATATACCTGCCCCATCCAATGGTGACGGTTCACTTGGGTACATCCCATGTTCAACGTACCGGGCTTCGGAAATGTCCAGATTGTTTCTCGTTTTTTGCCAAAAAATAGATACAGTTATTGAAGCATCAAATATCTTATGTTCTCATCTATTTTGCATTGGTACAGAGAATGCGAACGTACCGGGCTTCGGAAATGTCCAGATTGTTTCTCGTTTTTTGCCAAAAAATAGATACAGTTATTGAAGCATCAAATGTCTTATGTTCTCATCTATTTTGCATTGGTACAGAGAATAGGAATTATGTTGAATTCACAAGAAATTCATAATAGCAATGCAAGTGAAATGTTAGAGTTACCTACCCTTCCTGAAAATAGAAATCTTTCAGTTATATTTGTCCTGGGTGTTTAAAACAAAGGATCTTAATCCTTACATTTAATATGACCGAGGAGACCTTTAGTTATTGGAAGTCAGGGGAAATGGTAATCAGAAGAATGTTCAGTAGTTCACCTTCTGTTTGAAATGTGGGGCGGTCGGGTAGCCTAGTAGTTAAAGCGTTCGCTCGTCACGCCGAAGACCCGGGATCGATTCCAGACATGGGTACAATGTGTGAAGCCCATTTCTGGTGTCCCCTGCCGTGATATTGCTGGAATATTGCTAAAAGCGGCGTAAAACCATACTCACTCACTCACTCACTGTTTGAAATGTCAAGTTTAACATGTTTGATTCTTTGGAGGATATACCCGAGGCTGTGGTTGCCTCATGGCAGACTGCTTCATGAGATATTCTTGAGTTCTTCAAGTCTGTCTCTTGTTGAGTGCTTTGCAAGAAGGTCAGGTTTATCTGAGCTGGATGTGTGGATGAAGTAGTTTTGCAAGAAGGTGACGTTTATCTGAGCTGGATGAGTGGATGAAGTAGTTTTGAAGTAAATGGTTGACATACACAGTTCTCACCACTACCAGATGCTTTGGGTCACTGTACTTATACATGCATGAAACATTAGCCTTTTTGAACTGTATAAATGTTTCAGAATGGTTCAGAATGGGTCATAAAATAATAGGGGCGGTCGGGTAGCCTAGTGGTTAAAACATTCGCTTGTCACGCCAAAGACCCGGGTTCGATTCCCGACATGGGTACAATGTGTGAAGCCCATTTCTGGTGTCCCCCGCCGTGATATTGCTGGAATATTGCTAAAAGCGGCGTAAAACCATACTCACTCACTCACTCACTCAGAAATAATAGTTTTAGGTTTTGTTTGTAGGGCAGTTGTAGGTCAGAGTAGTCTGTTTATTCATCTTACACAGGGTTCAAATTATGAAAACCAATTTTGTTTTCCTTGTTGGTTTTTTCAAATGAGGTGTCAAATGTATGCACTTACGTTTTAATTTTTGTGACCTTATTTACATGGTGGATTTTTGTCCGTAATAAAGGTTGATGATTTTTAGTTTGTTTTTGTGTACGAGACAACACATTGTGTGTCTGGTGATGCAGTGGATGCTGTTGCAAGGTGGGATGGTGATGGGTACTATTACAATGCACCTTTAGTTAATCTGATCACTACAAACACACAGTGTTAAAGTGTCTACAGTGATTGTACATTGTTAACACTTTCGAGTATATTATTTCAAGGGGTAAGCACCAACATTTATATTGTATTGTATTTTATATTATACATACATTGTATATATATGTGCATTGTTATTTTGAATTTATTTGTTGAAATTTTAGCATGGCAATATTGTTAAATTTTGGAATTATTGTTATTGGAAAAAATAATATTTGAACAATTTGGGAATGGGGCCTTATGTTTGATTGAGCAGTTTTTCTGGTTGCTTGGGGAAAAGAGCTCAACTTTGCTTGTCATTTTAATATTAAAAAATGCCATTGAATTTTATGATATTTTCCTAAAGTGCAAATGCAATTGATGATTTGTCAATCTTGAGGTAACCTGGACTGTTATAATGAAATTATATGCCTTTATATGTAATGCAAAATTATTATTATTTCCATATATTCCGCTCAATAACCTACAGCATATATCATCCTAAGACATTGTGTGTTTTGGGAAGCAGCGTTAACCCTTGTCCCTCCTCTGTTCCTGATGCCTGTTATAAATATTCACTTTAATATGAAACATAGACTAAACTCCCTGCCCTGTTCACTGAAGCACTAGCACACCCTTATATGATGCCATAGAGCTATCTCTGGCACCTTGCATGCTTCAACTCAGATTGTCTGCATTTTGTATTAATAAATGCAGACTTAGTACATCCCCTTGTTTAACTCAAGTAGTGATCCCGGCATTAATAGTTTTGCTTGCTTTGCATGAAATGTATCAGCTTTTGGTTGCATGTAATGCTTGATAAAATTGCATATAACTCTTTTGCATGATTCATACTTAATAATGTCTTTGCATGTTTATGATTCTATATCATATTATCTTTCCTTTAGATTAGAATTATAAAGTTATTTAATAAATAATTTAGCATACACAATAGTAAAATACTAATAACGTGCAGTAAAATATTTTAGTTATATATACAGATTTAGTATTGTATTTATTTTATATATGATATGTTTCTATGAAGTGATCAGATAAGTTATGAACTTGATGGTAATGTTGGTATGATGTTAATTTTAAACTTTTCATTATGTTATCGAATTTGCTTTTTTTTAAAATAATCTCTGACAGAAAGATTGTATAAATTGCGTACTATGTGACTTGTGAATCACAGAGACTTCCTGGAATTTTAACTTTGTTGTCATTGGATTGATGTTACCCTCCTGTCTTTATGTACAACTCATTGAGGCGGAAGGGGTCGTTGTTGTCACGGGTACTGTAGATATGTGCCCCAGGTGCATTTAAGTAAACAGAGATGTACCCTAGCCAAAATCAGAATACAGAACAGTTCCTGGTACCCTAAACGGCGGACAAGTCCATATTCCTCAACCCAAAACCTAATCATGTGCGCCTGATTACAAATGCATGGTGGGTGATGCTGTGCGTCTCAGAATAAGAGTACTGTTACGTAATGCACTGTATGTGCTTGTTTTTTATATAGCACCGTGGAACGCATCCCATAAACAATATGACAGGTCCGATCCAGAAACTGGAGAAAATCTTCCATGTTCAGAGTTGAGAAACCGGTTAAGCGCTCTGCGTAATGGACTCATCCTTGGGTACCGTTCTGGCTTCTGATTTTGGCTAGGGTACATTTCTGTTTACCAAAATGTACCTGAGGTACATGTCTGTAGTACCCGTGCTGACAACATCCCATTCATCCTCATTCAGGGATACTACTTTCAGTACATCTTGTTAAGGGATACTACTTTCAGTACAACTTGTTAAGGATACTGCTTTCAGTACAACTTGTTAAGGGATGCTACTTTCAGTACAACTTGTTAAGGGATACTACTTTCAGTACAACTTATTAAGGGATACTACTTTCAACACAACTCATTCAGGGATACTACTTTCAGTACAACTTATTAAGGGATACTACTTTCAGTACATCTCATTAAGGGATACTACTTTCAGTACAACTCATCAAGGGATACTTCTTTCAGTACAACTCATCAAGGGATACTCATCTGATCACTTTTGGCGCATTCTTAGTGGCACAGTTTATTTCTGATTGTCTTCATGCATGATTGCTTTTCAAATACAGCGACAGTCTCGATGCCCACCGAGTTGTCCACCACACCTCCAGGTGGGTTTACAAATAGGTCATCGTTATTTTTATGTTTCATGTAGCCGTTATGCTCAGAAATTTAGTCATACAGTTCCCCAAGAATAAGAAAGACATTAAACCCAATTAAATTTACCCAAAGATTTGCAAATGATTTTCACCTTTATTAATGAGTCAAGAAGTTGATTTTGGCATTTCATTGGAGATAACTCACAATTCTTGATATTATTTTGTTCATCACTTTTAACAAAATTGGGAGGAGTTAGGGAGATATTGTTTTTGGTCAGTAGTCTAGTTGTACAAATAATGATTTCGGTGACAAGAAACATGAAGATAGCAATCCGTGCCCTTGTTATGAATGTGGGTTTCTACAACAGGTGGGGTAGGGGTGGGTGGGGTTCAATTGCCTCTTGCATAGTGTTTGGGAACTGATTGAATAATTTTTCAGGTCATTAAATTTAAGGTATTTCTTTTTTATATGAATTTGTAATTTATTAAAGAACAGGAGGCAAAATATTGAACTTGATATGTGAATATGCAGATGAAGAAAAATGGCATTGAACATTTTTGAGTAAATCTTTTGAATTAAAGCCTTAATATTAAGTCTTATGTCCATCCATCCATCCATCCATCCATCGATTCTTCCATCCATCCATCCATCCATCCATCCATCCATTTGTTCTGTCTTTCCCCATTGTCTGCCAGCATGTCATGTCTGTGCAAGCTTTCTTAACACCAGCAGTTGGCTTTATAACAGTTTTTTATAGATAGGTAGACCTGGTGCTATAGCTTTGTATACATTTATCTATAGACAGGTAGGCCAGGTGCTTTAAACATTATCTATAGACAAGTAGACCAGTTGCTCTAAACACTATCAATGCACAGGTAGACCAGGTGCTATAGCTTTGTATACATTAATCTATAGACAGGTAGACCAGGTGCTCTAAACATTATCTATAGACAGGTAGACCAGGTGCTCTAAACATTATTTATAGACAGGTAGACCAGGTGCTATAGCTTTGTATACATTAATCTATAGACAGGTAGACCAGGTGCTCTAAACATTATCTATATACAGGTAGACCAGGCGCTTTAAACATTATCTATAGACAAGTAGACCAGTTGCTCTAAACACTATCAATGCACAGGTAGACCAGGTGCTATAGCTTTGTATACATTAATCTATAGACAGGTAGACCAGGTGCTCTAAACATTATCTATAGACAGGTAGACCAGGTGCTCTAAACATTATTTATAGACAGGTAGACCAGGTGCTATAGCTTTGTATACATTAATCTATAGACAGGTAGACCAGGTGCTCTAAACATTATCTATAGACAGGTAGACCAGGTGCTCTAAACATTATTTATAGACAGGTAGACCAGGTGCTATAGCTTTGTATACATTCATCTATAGACAGGTAGACCAGGTGCTATAGCTTTGTATACATTTATCTATAGACAGGTAGACCAGGTGCTTTAAACATTATCTATAGACAAGTAGACCAGGTGCTATGGTGTTGTATACATTTATCTATAGACAGGTAGACCAGGTGCTATGGTGTTGTATACATTCATCTATAGACAGGTAGGCCAGGTGCTATGGTGTTTTATACATTTATCTATAGACAGGTAGGCCAGGTGCTATGGTGTTGTATACTCCCATCTATATACTCGATATTGAGGCCTTGATAAGACACATGCTTTGTACTCGTGTAGATGTAGCTTAGTTCTGCACCTGATCAGGAGCTGTTCATAATAGAGAAATATTTTTTTGAATATCGCAATATGATATTTTTTTTCAGAATAATAAACATATTCTTAATATGACATATTTAAAAAAAGATATGTTGCTATGCTTTTTAGTATATTTTATGTATGTAATTTCAAAATTGGTTTGAAAATTGTAGCGAGTATGACTTGTATTTATCCTGTTTTGTGCAGTTTGAGTTGAAAGTTTGTTGATGTAGAGATAGATATAGAGTTTTCAGCTACTAGGATGTAGACCTAGAGATAGATATAGAGTGTTCAGCTACTAGGGTGTAGACCTAGAGATAGATATAGTGTGTTCAGCTACTAGGGTGTAGACCTAGAGATAGATATAGTGTGTTCAGCTACTAGGGTGTAGACCGAGAGATAGATATAGTGTTCAGCTACTAGGGTGTAGACGTAGATATAGATAAAGAGTGTTCAGCTGGTGGTAATTTCGCATGCTGCCTGTGTGCTGTGAGTTGTCGTGTTGTGTTACTCCCCAATCTGCACCCACCCCCATCTGCACATTGCCTTGAATCTCAGTGTCACATACTTACTTTGTACCTCAGTCCACAGAGCTCCAGCACTCACGGCATTGGAAGTGAATAGTACAGTCCTTAGTGTGGTCTCACATGTGAGAGCTCCCTAGACTTGACAGGGCTGTTGTGACATCACACATGTGAGCTCCCTAGACTTGACAAGGCTGTTGTGACATCACACATGTGAGCTCCCTAGATTTGACAAGACTGTTGTGACATCACACATGTGAGAGTTCCCTAGACTTGACAAGGCTGTTGTGACATCACACATGTGAGCTCCCTAGATTTGACAAGGCTGTTGTGACATCAGACATGTAAGAGCTCCCTAGACTTGACAAGGCTGTTGTGACATCACACATGTAAGAGTTCCCTAGACTTGACAAGGCTGTTGTGACATCACACATGTGAGAGTTCCCTAGACTTGACAAGGCTGTTGTGACACCATACATGTAAGAGCTCCCTGGACTTGACAGGGCTGTTGTGGCATCAGACATGTAAGAGCTCCCTAGACTTGACAGGGCTGTTGTGGCATCAGACATGTAAGAGCTCCCTAGACTTGACAAGGCTGTTGTGACATCACACATGTTAGAGTTCCCTAGACTTGACAGGGCTGTTGTGACATCACACATGTGAGCTCCCTAGATTTGACAAGACTGTTGTGACATCAGACATGTAAGAGCTCCCTAGACTTGACAAGGCTGTTATGACATCAGACATGTAAGAGTTGACAAGTTGACTGTTGTGAAACTCAGTATCAAAGCACTGTTGACTTGTGTGCGTGTCTCACACTTTCACTCTATACTCATGATCCAGCTGGAACTGTTAAGGGTTCTGGACAGCTGCAGACTTCAACATTACCTTCACTGCTTCATAAAGGTCATTGATAGACATGGGTCTAAATTCATGATTTAATCACAATCTTCATTTCATTGGTTGACTTGAAACCCAGGGAGATGTTTCAGATCACATTAGTTCGACACAGCCACAGCCCTGACACAGCCCTGACACAGCCCTGACACAGCCACAGCCCTGACACAGGCCTGACACAGCCCTGACACAGCCACAGCCCTGACACAGGCCTGACACAGCCCTGACACAGGCCTGACACAGCCACAGCCCTGACACAGCCACAGCCCTGACACCGTCCTGACACACCCTCAACCCTGACACACCCCTGACACAGCCCTGACACAGCCACAGCCCTGACACAGGCCTGACACAGCCACAGCCCTGACACAGGCCTGACACACCCACAACCCTGACACAGGCCTGACACAGCCACAGCCCTGACACCGTCCTGACACACCCTCAACCCTGACACAGCCCTGACACAGCCACAGCCCTGACACAGCCCTGACACAGGCCTGACACAGCCCTGACACAGCCACAGCCCTGACACAGGCCTGACACAGCCACAGCCCTGACACCGTCCTGACACACCCTCAACCCTGACACACCCCTGACACAGCCCTGACACAGCCACAGCCCTGACACAGCCCTGACACAGCCACAGTCCTGACACAGCCCTGACACAGCCCTGATACAGCCACAGCCCTGACACAGGCCTGACACAGCCACAGCCCTGACACAGGCCTGACACAGCCACAGCCCTGACACGGGCCTGACACAGCCACAGCCCTGACACGGGCCTGACACAGCCACAGCCCTGACACGGGCCTGACACAGCCACAGCCCTGACACAGCCCTGACACAGCCATAGCCCTGACACAACCACAGCCCTGACACAGCCCTGATACACCAACAGCCCTGACACAGCCCTGATACACCAACAGCCCTGACACAGCCATGATACAACAACAGCCCTGATACACCAACAGCCCTAACACAGCCCTAACGCAGCCCTGACATACCCACAGCCCTGACACAGCCCTGATACACCAACAGCCCTGACACAGCCCTGATACACCAACAGCCCTGATACATCAACAGCCCTGACACAGCCCTGGTACACCAACAGCTCTGACACAGCAACAGCCCTGACACAGCCCTGATACACCAACAGCCCTGACACAGCCCTGATACACCAACAGCCCTGACACAGCCCTGATACACCAACAGCCCTGACACAGCCCTAATACACCCCTGATACACCCCTGATACACCAACAGCCCTGACACAGCCCTGATACACCAACAGCCCTGACATACCAACAGCCCTGACACAGCCCAGACACACCAACAGCCCTGATACAGCCCTGACACACCAACAGCCCTGACACACCAACATCCCTGACACACAAACAGCCCTGACACAGCCCTGATACACCAACAGCCCTGACACACCAACAGCCCTGACACACCAACAGCCCTGACACACCCACAGTTCTGACACGCCCACAGCCCTGACACACCAACAGCCCTGACACACCAACAGCCCTGACACACCAACAGCCCTGACACACCCACAGCTCTGACACAGCCCTGACACACCAACAGCCCTGACACAGACCTGACACACCAACAGCCCTTACACACCAACAGCCCTGACACAGCCCTGATACATCAACAGCCCTGACACAGCCCTGACACACAAACACCCCTGACAAAGCCCTGATACACCAACAGCCCTGACACACCAACAGCACTGACATGCCCACAGCCCTGACACACCAACAGCCCTGACACAGCCCTGATACAGCCCTGATACACCAACAGCCCTGACACAGCCCTGACACACCCACAGCTCTGACACAGCCCTAACACACCAACAG